TCTTCAGGATTAGGAATTTTCTTCCGTTGTTATTCATAAGGATATAAGCAGTGTTGGATGTATAGGAATTATAAGTCCAGTATACATATAACCCCACTCCCAGAGCAATATATTAGTTTATTTTGATTTATTCTTTTCCATTAGGTTTCAACGATTCTTCTTTTCAACAAGATTGATGTGTTAGTAGTGGATAATTCCTCCTGTGACACCATCCGTAGTTCTTAACTCCCAATCTATTTTTTTTTTACTTTGATTAAGGAATTCACTCTATTTTGTAGGATTACAAAGAGTGCTTAGATGATACGATTATGCCTTTAGGTAGGGCAGCTTCTTCGTCCTTAAATCCATTCGCTCGATAGTTTCGTAATTAAGGCTTAGAGGATTCTCTCATTTACTTAGGATTAAAGTGAGTTAAGTGGTTTGAGGGCAATGCCATTCGGTTGAGCAGCAGATCCAAATCTTATCGAACCACAACCGTAGTTGTCAATCGCAATTTTTTTGCTTCTTTCTGTCTAGATTCTTCCATTTTCTTGTGATCTAGACGTGCTAGTGGTAGCCAAAAGGCCATATCGGTGCCGCACATAGAATAATCCTAATTTCAATTCTGGCAGCGTTTCTTACTAAAGTCTAACGAGTAATTCAATTCATTTTGTAAGTTGGCTGAGAAATAATCGCTTCAGTACTCATCATAAGCCCTCTATTGTACAGTAAGGCACGATCATATTTTTTTCTAATTTTTTTTTTCTTTAGGTTACGTATTCTACCTTTAGAAAAAACACCCTTTGATATCTCCGATCCTAATATACATCAATAGCTCTTTGTCGTTTTTTGTCCATCAAGTCTTGAGGATTTTTCTTATATTAGGATTAAGAATTGTGCGTGGGTGGTGGGGATAGTCATTCGGGTGGCAGCATCCTAGTTACTCGCACATTTTTTTTTCCTTATGTTTGGATTATCCCTTTTCTTTGGGTTAGACGTATTTAGTGCTGGATAATCGTTCGCCGCAATCCCTGCTAGTTTTTAAAGTCTGAATTTTTCTATCGTTATGTTAGGATTCTTCTTTTTACGATTGTGATGTGGTGTCATGTGCAATGCCTTTCTTTGGAATGGATACTAGTTTAAGTCCAGTTTTCGAATTCTTTTTTGGGTTAGGATTCTTTCTTTCTAGGATTAGACAGTTGGAAGTGTGGGATTATTGCTTCGTTGCGATTACATCTATTGTTTTATTAAAGTTTTTTTTTTTCATTTAGATTTGAATTTTTTCCTTTTCCTTAATATTAAAGTATTAGTGGTGGAGTAGTGCCTTTGTGGCACCGTCCCTAGTTTTTAATTCGTTTTCTATTTTCTTCAGGTTAGATTCTTCATTTCATTAGGAGTTAGGCGTGCTAGTGGGGGATAATGCCCTCATGGCGTATCCTAAGTTTCATCTAGTTTTCTTTTTTCCTTAGGTTAGAATTCTTCCTTTCCGTAGGATTAGACGGATTAGTTAATACAACCACTTTAACAGCCATACGTAGTTTATCTTGTTTTCTTTTCCTTTTGATTATGATTCTTCATTTCGTTAGTATTAGATGTGTTAGTGGTGGAAAACGCCCTTAGTGAAATCTTCTAGTTATCCAGTTTAATTTTCTTTTTGGTAGGATTTTTCTTCCTTAGATTAAACGTGCTAGTGGTAGATAATCGCATTCGTGAATCATCATAAATTTACCATATTTTCTTTCTTTAGGTTAGGATTCTTTCTTTCTTAGATATGACATGCTAATTGTACTAAGCCTTTTTCACGTGCTTAATTTATTCCAATTTATTTTCGTTTACGTTGGATTTTCTTTCCTTAAAGATTAGATGCACTGTGGTGTATAATTCCCTTGTGGCACCATCCTAGTTATTTTAGTTTTTTTTTTTTAGGATTAGATTTTTTTCTAAACTATAGGATTAGACTGCTGAGATGGACACAACTATTTATCCGTTTTTTTTTTTTCATTTAAGGTTAGGAGAATTTTCCTTTCTTAGAATTAGACTGCGCTAGTTGTAAACTTTAGTGACACCATCTTTAGATTTAATTAATGCCAGTTTTCATTATCCTTTTTTTTTTGGATTAATTCCTTTTCTTTAGGATATGAAGTGCTACGTGGAGAATAACCGCCCTTCGTAGCACCATCTTGAGTTTTATCACAATTTTTTTCCTTTAGGTTAAGATTTTCTTTTTGTAGGAATTAGCGTGCTAGTCGTGTACAATGCATTCATTGCCAGCATAACAAGTTTAAATACATTTTCTTTTCATTTAGGTTTGGATTGGTTTCGTTTCTTAGGATAAGACAGCAAGTGGTAATAATGCTCTTCTGGACCATCTAATTTAAATTTCCAGTTTTTTTTTCCTTCAAGTTAAGATTTTTTTCTTTCTATAAGATTAGATATGCTTAAAGGTGGACGCCATCTTAAGGTTTAATTTTTCAGTTTTCTTTTCTTTAAGTTAGGGATTTTTTCCTTTCCTAGGATAGAATGCGCTAAGTGAGTGGACATACCCTTCGTGGCACATCTTAGTTTTAAAGACCGTTTTCTTTTCATTTATATTTAGTGTATTCTCTTGCTTAGGATATGACGTGCTGTGTGAATAACGCCTTACGTGTGAAGCCATCCGTAGTTTATCACGATTTCTTTTCGCTTTAGGGTTGGATTGCTTCTTTTTATAGGATTTTACGTAATAGTGTGTTACAATGCCTTCTTGGCACATACTAGTGCATATAAAATTCATTTTAGTTATAGAGTATAGTGTGTTCCATTCTTAGATTAGAAAGTGCTAGGTTGTGGATATTGTCATTCATGGCACCATACCTAGTTTATTCCAGTGTTTTTTTTTCTTTAGGTTCAGATTTTCTTTTTCCGTAGGATAGACGATATAGGGGTGGACACTATCTGAGTTAATCTAGTTTTATTTTCATTTTAGGTTTATGGATTTTTTCTTTCCTTAGAGTGTGACGCACTTGAAGTGGACAACACCCTTCGTGGCACATTCTTATTTTAAAATCCAATTTTCATTCACTTATTTTTGTGGATTAATGCTTTTCTTGAGGTATAATGAGTGATAGTGGTGGATAATGCTTCATGACACATCATATTTTCATGGTTTCTTTCTTTTTGTTTAGGATTTTCGTTTATAGAGACTAAGACGTGCTAGTGGGCGATTAACATTAATTCATGGCACCATCCATTTTAATCAATTTTTTTCTTATAAGTTTAGCAATTTTATAATTTCTTAGTATTAAAAGTACTAGTGGTGATAAACCTTGTCGTGGCACATCCTTATTTTAATCGCAGTTCTTTTTCCATTAGGTTTGGAGTCTTCTTTCCCAAGGATTAGGATCTGTTAGCTGTACAATGCCTTGTCTGGCACAATACTAGTGTTATATATTTTCTTCTTCATTTATGTAGAGGATTCTTTTTTCCTTTAGGATAGACGATTATGGGTCGCATGCTTAGTGTACATCCTCATTAATTCAGTTTTCTTTTCCTTTAATTTTGGGGTGATTCTTTTTCCTTAGGATTACAAGCTTGTGGTGAATAAAGCACTTGTGGACTATCGCTAATTTAATAATCTAATTTTTTTCTTTAGGTTATGATATTTCTTTTCCTTAGGATTAAAGGTGCTAGTGGGCGATGATAACGCCCTTCGTGACACCATCTTAGTTTTAATCCAATTATATTTTCCTAAGGATAATTGTCTAAGGGTTTCTGTTTTTTACCCGATCGTCCAGGATGATACGATCGTCAAGGTTTTGGTCCTGAAATGTTAGTAGTCAAGGCAGTCATAGAGAAACAGAATTGTTTGCAATCATCAAAATCACAATCCATGAAAATAGATTTGCAACACTATGGAGAGGTTTTGATATCTTACTATTCATTTGAACCAATCATTAAAATATTCATTAACAAGTTTATCAAGAACTAATGGCTTTAGAGTAAAGTTGTTGGCTTTTTTTGTCTCTTTCTGCTAGTTCAAGTCAATATACTTTGTTAAGTGATCACAATGTATGAGCATATATCTATGACCTTGAATCAATGATAGGTCATCTAAGACATTCATAGACAGTTAGACACTTGACACAAAGGTTTACCGGCAATCAAAAACTTATAGGAAACACCATCACCCTTAAATGAAATTCTAGAAGATATAGACTTGGACAAAGTTGGCGCACCATCTGGATATTT